TCAAAATGACCAGCCATGTAAAGGTCTTTTTCATGAGCCACTATGAAATTGTTGAGACTAGAGTTGTTTTAAGGCAGCAGCAATCCTCTTTGGTCTCGGTGTCGCACAGCCTAGCTGTTGTTGATTTGCTCTGAATTAAACTCCATTTTACCAAATTGTAATTATTCAAAAAGTTATTTACAAGACATAGCTAATATTTTTTATAACTTTTCCACGAAACCCCACTTCAACAAATCTGAACTATCCCTTCAGGAGCCACTTCAATTAGTTCTTGATTTGAAAAGAAAAATCTTCCTGAGCATTAACTTAACACATTTTTCACTGACTCACATCCCTGTAAAGCTAAACGTTAGCACCCATGCTTTGTCAGCTTGTTGATTTGATGTCATAGGTCTCATTCAGTGAAATGCTGCAGAAGAGCAGTGCATTTTTCACTGAAATCTTTTCTTTAGACAATTCATTTCAGAGCATGTTCTCTGAATCAATTTTCTGTCCGGTCATCAAACATTAGTTCAGAGTAGAGAAGCTCAACAAGTCGTCTGACTGTCAGGACCTTTTACACAGAGATCCATTGCTCCTTGGGGGTCTGTCCTTTGCGGACACTGGTTTTCAATCATTTTCCTGTTTAATACAAGCCCAGTTATAATTTGTTTCTCCAGGAGTTTGACAATCTGTGCAGTCTACAACAACACCCTAAAATAAACTTTTCATTTTTCACGAGTCTCGCTCTGAACTGAATTTCTTCGAAAAGGGTCAGAATGAAAGCTTCAAAACACGTTTTCATTCCGAAGAGATAAAATCTAATAAATCCGGTGGTTTTCCAGTAACAGCAGCTTAAAGATATTAATTCAAATCAGACCTACTTGTTTAAAATGCTCAATGTATCAGCTGTTGTTCAGTGCTTTGTTTAAGCATGTTAGTTATTAACCTTGTTAAACTCATTGGATCAAATGACTACAAATTAGACAAGAAAAAAACCAATAACACTGGTTACTATTTAACTGTGGGAAGGATATACTATATCAATAAAAGGTAATATTGTAAAACTGTTACGTGAACACGTTTGGTGAGTAAGCAGTTTGATACAGGAAATGCATGGCTGTTGGGAGAGCTCTGTTTTCTGTAAGGGATTTTTGAAACATCTTTCTCTTCGTTGTATTTAGCATCATTATAGACCAACATTTGAAAACACTAGTTCTAAAAATGAAAATAAACTCACCCTTAATTTGAACAATTTTGCAAAAAGTCTGTGTCGTGGAAAAAAAGAGATTCCCAAAACGACCAGGTGTCAACTTCTTCAGATTTATTACAAAGCCTTGGAGAGCAGCCAGAAATCACAGAAGATCAATTAATTTACAAGTACAAACTTATGTCTGAGGTTCTGACCCGTTCTGAGCTTCCTGCAGTAAAACTATTAGTTTTATAGAATCACCCGGGCGCCAGCCTTTCACCCTTCCTCTGTCGAGCTGCACAGAGAGACACGTTGGGGAGTTGGTTGTGGCAAACGGAACAGTTCTCAAGGACTCCCTGAAAACACGCCTCTGTATCTTATCAATATATCAATCAAACCTTGAGCATAATAAAAATGATCTCTTTGCTGTCTCTTTACTGACGGGTCACGTCAAGACTGATTAATATCTATGGATGATGCAACATTTTGATATCTTTCACAATAACAGTAACGGAGCTGTGCAGAAATACAGATTTCCTCAACAGTCTGTTTTATTCACTGCACATTTGAATAAAAATTCACAGAATAAGCTTTTCTACTTTCTTGAGAATATCTTTCTTTTTTTATTAGCATAGTTCCTGCCTAGCATGCCTCAACGTTCATGAAATATAATTTTTTCCAACACATGTATCCATCCATCCATCCATTTTCTTTACCCGTTTATTCCATTTTTGGGTCACGGGGGTCGCTGGTGCCCATGTCCAGCAATCACTGTGTGAGGGGCGGGGTACACCCTGGACGGGTCGCAAGTCCATCACAGGGACACATAGAGACAAACGAGACAAACAACCATTCACTCTCTCACTCACACCTAGGGACAATTTAGAGTTACCAATCAGCCTAACGCGTGTTTTTGGACTGTGGGAGGAAACCGGAGTAACCAGAGAAAACCCACACATGCACGGAGAGAACATGCAAACTCCACCCAGAAAGGCCCCTGGACCGGGGTTTGAACCAGGGACCTGCTCGCTGAGAGGCAGCAGCTCTACCAGTTGCGCCACCGTGCTGTAACACATATATCATAAAGTCTAATTTTTTTTACTTTCGTGGTATTAATTTCTATAACTACAAATGCTCATGTAAAACATTGACATGAGTACCAAATTAGTTTTTTTTTCATATTCAGCAATAATTAGTAAGTGTTAGCATGTTAGCATGCTAAGCTAAAATTAACTATATAAGCATTTTTGTCTTGTAAATGTCTTTACAAACAGCTGATTTTCTAGCATTTTAGCATTTTTCACAAAGCCTTTATCTTCTTTTTACTTAAGTGTGGCATATTTTTATTTGATTTTTAATGATCAATGCAATAAAAAATAACTGTTAGAATGAAACAAAAAACAATAAACACATCCAAAAAAGCATTGGATAAATTAAAAGAGGAATTAAAAAACCAAGACTGGAAGGATGTGTATGTTGATGTTGTAAACAGAGCATATCATGGGTTTATGAATATTTTAGGATCTCTGTATGATAAGAATTGCGTGCAAAAAAATTATACAAAATGAGGTTTTGTTGACAAGCCATGGATGACGAAAAGGTTGAGAAATGCTTGTAAAAAAAATAAAAGAACTATTTGTATTTATGCTTTTTGAAATTGAGAACACAAGAGGCAGAGGAGAAATACAAGAAGTATAAAAATAAGATGGTAATGATTATAAGAAAACATAAGAAAGAATATTTCATTGATTTATTAAACAAAAGTAATAGTGATACAAAATCAACATGGTGAGTTAATGAATAGTGTTCTGAAAAATAACAAAGTAAAAACAGGTATTTCACAATATTTTGTGGAGGACGACAATGAACTCCATGATGAGAATGAAATTGTAAATGGGTTTAATCATTATTTTGTGAATGTTGGCTCAAGTCTTGCAGCTAAAATACTGAAAGTAGATAATAATGTGAGTCATACAGTTACAGATGGTGCCAACAGTATTTTTCTTGATGGAACTGACAAAGAAGAAATAATGAATATAGTAAAAAAAAAAATTGCAGACAAGAGATCAAAAGACTGGGCGGACATGGATATGATGTTTGTAAAGATTATGATGAGTTATGTTATTGAGCCGTTTACATATATATGTAATTTATCATTTTCAACAGGAATATTTCCAGCCAAGGTAGTTCCTCTTTTTAAGAATGGTGAGAAATGTGTGTTTAATAATTATAGACCAACATCCTTGTTACCACCGTTTTCAAAAATTTTAGAAAAATTATTTGTGACCAGATTAGATCAATTGATTGCTAAACAAAATATTCTAAGTAGCAGTCAGTATGGGTTTAGAGCAAAAAACTCTACATCAATGGCTCTCATGGAATTGCTAGAACAAATAGCAACTGCTGTCGATCAAAAACAAAATTGTGTTAGTATTTTTGTTGATTTAAAAAAACATTCAATACTATTGACCATAGTATTCTCCGTGAAAATTGGAATAAATATAGCATTAGAGGACTAGCACTACAGTGGGTATCTAGCTATTTGAAATATAGGAAACAGTTTGTACAAATGATGTAAGATACAAATAACCTCTGTAATATCATATGTGGAGTTCCTCAAGGTTCTGTACTTGGACCAAAGTTATTTATTTTATATGTGAATGACTTGGTAAATGTGTTCAATTTGCAGATGATACCACATTTTTTTGTGTGTGGGTAGCGATGTAGAACGTGTGTTGGAGTTGATGCAGACAGAATTTGTAAAAATACAAACTTGGTTTAAACTTAATAAATTATCATTAAACTTGAGTAAAACTAATTATATGATATTCAATGATAGAAAGAGAAATGTCCATGTTCCATTTAAAATCGAGGGTGTTGAGATTTGTAGAGTTAGTGACAAAAGCTGACATGGAAACATCACATAAATTCTGTAAGAATAAAAATAGCTAAATCTATTGCAGTACTGTACAAAGTAAGGGACTTATTTAATGATAAAGCTCTGTATATGTTGTATAACACAATAATTATTCCACACTTAATCTATTGTATTGATGTTTGGGGGAAAGTGTGCAAAAAAATTATAAATCCTATTTTTGTTTTACAGAAAAGAGCTGTAAGAATTATTACCAGGAAGCATTTCAGTCACCCATCAAGCACATTATTTTATCAACTCAAGTTATTGAAGCTCCATGATTTGGTAGATTACAGTATTTTATCAGTTATGTTTAGGGCTCATAATAATATATTAATTTTAAATATCCAATTAAATTTGGTTAAAAGAGAGAGTTGTTGTAATCTTAAAGGGATGGAAATCTTTATGAAACCTAAATTTCGAACTAGTATGAAAGAATGTTTTACTTCAATCCAAGGAATTAGATTATGGAATAATCTGGAGAGTGATGTTAAAAATGCCAGATCAATGTCTATGTTTAAAAGAATTATCAAAGTTGGTTTGTTAAAAAAATGAAATAGCTTAATGTGTATTTGTATAAATTGTTGTCAAGAAGGAGTTGTTTATTTTGTTTTTGTTATTTGAAGATTATTGTCTGAATTAATATTTTGGTAAAATGGGGCAGATATAAGATTTTTTTTTTTCTTTCTGCTGCCTTTCATTTTATTCGTGATTGTATTTCTTATTGTATATTGAATTGCTTTGTTGTTGTTTTTTTTAAAAAAGAATAAACTTATAAATAAATTAAAAAAAAAAAAAAAAGAGGCCAGTTCTGAAGACCGGTGTAGGTTTTCAGACATCTGTGCTGATGTGTGAAAACACTAAAATTAAAAATTCTCAGTTGCTCTGTGCATTGAATTTAGCTATCTGAACCAGTGCGTTCAAGGCTTGTGAGTTTTTATGTAAGTGCACAAATAATAAATATTGTAATGACCAGCGGGCAGCACGGTGGCGCAACTGGTAGAGCTGCTGCCTCTCAGCGAGCAGGTCCCTGGTTCAAACCCCGGTCCAGGGGCCTTTCTGGGTGGAGTTTGTATGTTCTCTCCATGCATGCATGGGTTTTCTCCGGGTACTCCGGTTTCCTCCCACAGACCAAAAACATGCATGTTAGGCTGATTGGTAACTCTAAATTGTCCCTAGGTGTGAGTGAGAGAGTGAATGGTTGTTTGTCTCGTTTGTCTCTATGTGTCCCTGTGATGGACTTGCGACCCGTCCAGGGTGTACCCCGCCCCTCACACAGTGATTGCTGGACATGGGCACCAGCGACCCCCGTGACCCAAAATGGAATAAACGGGTAAAGATAATGGATGGATGGATGGATGGGTAATGACCAGCAAAGTGCGTGCACACCTGTTTGAAAATGTGTTTTTAATGATGGGGTGAACTATCAACATTGTGTTAGGAATGAGCTTGGTTGCCATTGTCTCTTTTTCTAAGAAGACAATCTTTGTAATAATCTGTGCCTTTAATCTTTATTTGTCTGCCCGTCTCTGCAGCAGATTTCATCTAAAATGTCAACAGATCAAGAGCTGGCTGCCCAAAAATCCCATGAAGCTGGACAAAGAGGCCTTGCCTGACCTGGAGGAAACCGACTGCTACACAGCTCCCTTCAGCAGAGCTCGCATGCATCAGTAAGAACGGTGCAAACTCACAATCAGGACTCTGTTGTCACATATTATCAGTGTCTGTATCAGTAAAATTTGTGATAAACACTACTTTCAGTTTTCCTCGAATCCATCAGGTCCACGTTCTGAGCTCTATGCTGAATTTAGAAAGCAGGAGATAAAATATGTTTGTATATTTTACAACATTCAGCCTACAACTTGAAAGCTGGAGCAAGACAAGCTGATCATAAATAAGATATCAAAGTATAACAGCAGCTGTCCATTAAATATTTTCATCCCTTGAATCATGTTTCTCTTTTTGAAGGCTTTTAAAAAAAATAAAAGACATTGTCTAATTTTTTTAAAGGCAAGGAATCTTTTACACTTCTGTTTCTTATTTTGCTCTAATTTGTTGCTTTATTAGCAAATATGACACAAGAATGAGCACAAAAAAAAAACTTTACAAACTACGTCTTTACTCCATTAATTGTGTTTCAACGCATACCTGCTCATTTTGACTCATCTCTCATTGAGAGACTTAACAAAGTTAATAATAATTAATAATAATAATAATAACAGTTAATCATTTTAACAAATTAATGTGTTGATGTTGAGTGATGAATAACTGAGGGAGCGTGCTGTTGTTTCTGCACCAGCTTCACCATCAACAATAGAGAGACGTTCTTCTCAAATTCCACCAGAAGCAGGATAGTCCATCACGTCCTGCAGCGCACCAAGTACGAAGACGGAAAATCAAAGATGGGTAAGACACGGAGCTTTCTTCATCCTTCTGTAAACTTTATTTCTAACTGCAGCTCTTCTTTGTTTCTTTGTTACGAAACACGTGTGCTTCCACTTGGCCAGGTCTATCTTGTAAAATAGATTTTTAATCTCAACAAGATCCAAATGAGGATTAAAAAAAATATGTTTAAATGTCAGTGCAATAATGGACATACTGCACATCTATGACTTTTTATGGAGTTTATGAGAATTATAAACATTTTTATAAGGTTGAATTTATCTGAGGGTTGCACATTTGTGCAGTTTGTAGAGCTACCACCTCTCAGCAAGCAGGTCGCCGGTTCAAATCCCAGCCAGGGGCCTTTCTGGGTGGAGTTTGCATGTTCTCTCAGTGCATGTGTGGGTTTTCTCCGGGTACTCCAGTTTCCTCCCACAGACCCAAAACATGCATGTTAGGCTGATTGGTAACTCTAAATTGTCCCTAGGTGTGAGTGAGAGAGTGAATGGTTGTTTGTCTTTATCTGTCCCTGTGATGGACTGGAGGCCTGTCCAGGGTGTCCCACGCCTCTTGCACAGTGATAGATGGACATAGGCACCAGTGACCCCCTCGGCCCGAAAAGGAAGAAGCTTAGAAAGATGATGGATGGATGGATGGATGGATGGATGGATGGATGGATGGATGGATGGATGGATGGATGGATGGATGGATGGATGGATGGATGGATGGATGGATGGATGGATGGATGGATGGATGGATGGAATTTATCAGCTATTTTAGAGTAGTAGAAAACATACATTGTAGTTTTGTTGACATCTCAGTATTACACCATTAAAGACAAAACCTCACTTGTTTATTTTTTGGACAATTTGCACACTTACCATATCAAAACCTTCCCTGTCTGATGTTTTTTTTTATTGAGTAAAGTTTGGTCTTGAAGCACTGGAACAGATTTCAAAATAATTTTTAATGTGAGTGACCACTTCCCGACAAATGAAATCAGCTCGACCACAAGAGTAAACCTTTTCTTACATTCAGTGCCTATAGTTTCAGTCAAAATTGGCACAAATAGCTGTTCTTTAGTCCTGGTGTAAGAACTGTTTTCCTGCTGTCAGTTTGGTATGGCTGCAACAAGATTTCCCACAATGCAGTGGAGGCATAGATGTAAAATAAATATAGTCAAGTTTCAAGACCTGCCAGCTAAAATCCAGGCATGGACGACTGTATTAAGTTTCATAACGTGCTAAATGGTTCTGACTAAGACTGTGTGGGTTTCAATGAGTCTGTCACTGGACCCCTGTTTCTATTAATAACTGGTGCAGATTTTTTAATGTGGTTTCTGTGTGTTAGTTTGGGTGTGATGTGTTCCTCTTTTGAGATGGCCTGCTTTATTTCACTGCAGGCATCAATCGCTTACTGGGCAACAACACATACGAGGCTGCATTTCCTCCACATGAGGTGGGCTGATTTTGAATTTGATCTAAAAAAAATTGGCTGGACTTATAAATTTATAATTTAGCTGTTAGAACACCACATTTTGCTAAATGATGCTTTAAGGCCTTTTCTCGTGAATAAATGTTATATGAGAACTTAACACTCAGAGTAAAAGCAGCAGAAAAAAACAAAGAGAAATGATGTTAGAAGTAGATGAAGTATGAGCCTGCTTGTAGAGTTCTGTCCTCTTTGGTCTCCTCAGGGTGGTTACAAGAGCAGACATCCAATTAAGACACACGGAGCTCAGAACCACAGACATCTTCTGTACGAGCGCTGGGCCCGCTGGGGGATCTGGTACAAGTATCAGCCTCTGGACCTCATCAGGTAATCAACAACATGACATTTATTTTTGTTCTTTTACCCTCTTTAAATTTCACTTCTATGCATCGAGTATACAAGTTGTGTTTGAATGAAGCAGAAAGTACCTCAGCATTTCTCTTTGCTGCATGACAGCAGGTTTCTGTTGAAGAGGAACGTCTTCTAACATTCCTCGTCCTCCGTTAATTTTATGTTTCTCATCCGGTTCAATAGCTGTGGCTGAACTCATTTCACTTTACAGCTGGCTGGGTGTCTCTGTACTGAAGCACCGTTTGTTAGGTTTGTTTACGTTTTACAACAAGACGGACATGAACATGACAAGTAATGGATTAGCTGTGGACCATAGTATCCTCTTCCACCGTCTTCATGCGGAGGTCGGTCTCTGTGACAGTGTCCTGGACTGGTTTAAGTCTTTCCTCTCCAATTGGCTCAGAGGTTAGAGAGGTGGGCTTGTGATCCGAAGATCGCCGGTTCACGCCCCGGCCCCGACAACATCAAAATTGTGGGTTGGGTAGGTGAAACACCCACACTTGCCCCCACCCTCATTCGCCCCACTCTGGGCCCATGAGCAAGGCCCTTAACCCCCACCATGTGCTCCCTAAACAGGTCTCTCTTGAAAATGAGTTCTCGTGGCTCAATGAGACTAACCTGGATAAATAAAGGCTAAATGAAAATATGTTAGTCTTGGCAATGCCAAGTCCCAGACTGTCTGTGTCTCCTGTGGTGTCCCTCAAGGGTCAGTTCTAGAGCCCCTGCTATTTTCCTTTTACAGGTACATGCTGCCTTTAGGTCAAATTATTAATCAGTACATTTCTTTTCACTGTTATGCCGACGATACACAGCTTTACATCAGGACTGGAGCATCATCATCACCATTGTCATCTCCATCTTCACTCACTGCCCTCACTACCTGCCTGAAGGAGATAAGGGCTTGGATGAATCAGAACTTTCTTCAGTTAAAATGCTCCAAAACTGAGACCATACTGATTGGCACCCCTCACCAGGTTCAAACATCAACTATAACAACCATTTCCTTTTCTGGACAAGACATCCCCCTCTCCACCTCTGCTACAAATCTTGGAGTAAGAATGGGCTCTCATCTTCCATCCATCCATCCATCCATCCATCCATTTTCTTCCGCTTATCCGGGGTCGGGTCGCGGGGGTAGCAGCCTAAGTAGGGAGGCCCAGACTTCCCTCTCCCCAGCCACTTGGGCCAGCTCTTCCGGGTGAATCCCGAGGCGTTCCCAGGCCAGCCGAGAAACGTAGTCCCTCCAGCGTGTCCTGGGTCTTCCCCTGGGCCTCCTTCCGGTGGGACGTGTCCGGAACACCTCACCAGGGAGGCGTCCAGAAGGCATCCTAAACAGATGCCCAAGCCACCTCAACTGGCTCCTCTCGACGTGGAGAAGCAGCGGCTCTACTCCGAGTCCCTCCCGGATGATCGAGCTTCTCACCCTGTCTCTAAGGGAGAGCCCAGACACCCTGCGGAGAAAACTCTTTTCGGCCGCTTGTATCCGAGATCTCATTCTTTCGGTCACAACCCAAAGCTCGTGACCATAGATGAGGGTGGGAACGTAGATCGATCGGTAAATTGAGAGCTTCGCCTTTTGACTCAGCTCTCTCTTCACCACGACAGACCTGTACAGCGCCTGCTTCACTGCAGACGCTGCACCTATCTGCCTATCGATCTCACGCTCCATTTTTCCCTCATTCGTGAACAAGACCCCAAGATACTTGAACTCCTCCACTTGGGGTAGGGCCTCCTTCCTGACCCGGAGAGGGCACTCTACCCTTTTCCGGCTCAAGACCATGGCCTCGGATTTGGAAGAACTGATCTTCATCCCGGCCGCATCGCATTCGGCTGCGAACCGCTCCAGCGAAAGCTGTAGATCACGATCTGATGAAGCCAATAAGACCACATCATCTGCAAAAAGCAGAGACGCAATCCTGAGGCCACCAAAACGGATCCCCTCAACACCTTGGCTGCGCCTAGAAATTCTGTCCATAAAAGTTATGAACAGAATCGGTGACAAAGGGCAACCTTGGCGGAGTCCAACTCTCACTGGGAACAAGCCCGACTTACTGCCGGCGATGCGGACCCCAGGCTCTGACACCGGTCATACAGGGACCTAACAGCCTGTATCAAAGGGCCTGGTACCCCATACTCCCAGAGTACCCCCCACAGGGCCCCCCGAGGGACGCGGTCGAACGCCTTCTCCAAGTCCACAAAGCACATGTAGACTGGTTGGGCAAACTCCCACGCACCCTCCAGGACCCTGCTGAGAGTGTAGAGCTGGTCCAGTGTTCCACGGCCAGGACGAAAACCGCACTGTTCCTCCTGAATCCGAGGTTCGACTATCCGACGGACCCTCCTCTCCAGAACCCCCGAATAGACCTTACCAGGGAGGCTTAAGAGCGTGATTCCCCTGTAGTTGGAACACACTCTACGGTCCCCCTTTTTGAATAGGGGGACCACCACCCCGGTCTGCCAATCCAGGGGAACTTCCCCCGATGTCCATGCAATATTGCAGAGTCGCGTAAGCCAACACAAGCCTACAACATCCAGAGCCTTAAGGAACTCTAGGCGGATCTCATCCACCCCTGGGGCCCTGCCACCGAGGAGCTTTTTAACCACCTCGGTGACCTCAGCACCAGAGATTGGAGGGCCCGACCCAGAGTCCCCAGGCTCCGCTTCCTCAGTGGAAGACGTGCCGGTGGGATTGAGGAGGTCTTCAAAGTATTCTGCCCACCGACCCACAACATCCCGAGTTGAGGTCAGCAGCACACCACTCCCACTATAAACAGTGTTGGTGGCATACCGCTTTCCCCCCCTGAGACGCCGGATGGCGGACCAGAATCGTCTCGAAGCTGTGCGGAAGTCGTTCTCCATGACCTCTCCGAACTCCTCCCATGCCCGAGTTTTTGCCTCAGCAACCACCCGAGCCACATGTCGCTTGGACTGCCGGTACCCATCAGCTGCTTCCGGTGTCCCACAGGCCAAAAAGGCCCGATAGGACTCCTTCTTCAGCCTGACAGCATCCCTCATCGACGGTGTCCACCATCGGGTTCGAGGGTTGCCGCCACGACAGGCACCGACAACCTTGCGGCCGCAGCTCTGGTAAGCTGCCTCGACAATAGAGGCACGAAACATGGTCCACTCAGACTCAATGTCCCCCACCTCCCTTGGAACATGTTAAAAGTTCTCTCGGAGGTGGAGTTGAAACTCCGTCTCACAGGAGACTCTGCCAGACGTTCCCAGCAAACCCTCACAATACGTTTGGGCCTGCCAGGTCTGACCGGCATCCTCCCCCACCATCGGAGCCAACTCACCATCAGGTAGTGATCAGTTGACAGCTCCGCCCCTCTCTTCACCCGAGTGTCCAAGACATGTGGCCGCAGATCAGATGAGACGATGACAAAGTCAATCATCGAACTGCGGCCTAGGGTGTCCTGGTGCCAAGAGCACATATGGACACTCTTATGCTTGAACAAGGTGTTCGTTATTGACAATCCATGACGAGCACAGAAGTGCAACAACAGAACACCACTCTGGTTCAGATCAGGGGGGCCGTTCCTCCCAACCACACCCCTCCAGGTCTCACTGTCATTGCCCACATGAGCATTGAAGTCCCCCAGCAGAACAAGGGAGTCCCCAGAAGGTGCACTTTCCAGTACCCCCTCTAAGGACTCCAGAAAGGGTGGATAATCTGAACTGCCGTTTGGTGCATAAGCACAAACGACAGTCAGAACCCGTCCCCCCACACGTAGGCGGAGGGAGGCCACCCTCTCATTCACCGGGGTGAACCCCAATACACAGGCACCAAGTTGGGGGGCAATTAGTACGCCCACGCCTGCTCGGCGCCTCTCACCAGGGGCAACTCCAGAGTGGAAGAGTGTCCAGCCCCTCTCAAGGAAACTGGTTCCAGAGCCCGAGCCATGCGTAGAGGTGAGTCCGATTATTTCTAGCCGGAACCTCTCAGCCTCACACACCAGCTCAGGCTCCTTCCCCACCAGTGAGGTGACATTCCACGTCCCAATAGCCAGCTTCTGTAGCCGAGGATCAGACCGCCAGGGTCCCCGCCCTTGGCCACCACCCATCCCACATTGCACCCGACCCCTTTGGCCCCTCCCACAGGTGGTGAGCCCATGGGAAGGGGGACCCACGTCTCCTCTTCGGGCTGTGCCCGGCCGAGCTCCATGGGTAAAAGCCCGGCCACCCACGTCCGGGCAAGGGAACACTAGGTCCATTTGTGTTTCTCATCATAGGGGTGTGTTTGGACTCTCATCTTACATTTGAAAATCACATTAAGCTTCTGTTTAAAACCTGTTTCTTCCATCTCTGTAATATCTCCAAACTTTGCCCATCTCCCACTTTTGCTGATGCAGAGAAACTCGTCCATGCCTTTGTCTCCTCCAGGCTCGACTACTGCAACTCCCTGTTTACTGGAATACCCAGCAAAAACCTTCAGAAGCTTCAGTATATTCAAAACAGTGCAGCCAGGATTTTATTGAGAGCTCGTAAATTTAAACGCATTACACCCATTCTCCATAACCTCCACTGGCTTCTTGTCACCTACAGAATTCAGTACAAAATTGCTCTCATTACCCATTAGTGTTTAAACCAAACTTCACAAGATTATCTGAAGGACATTCTGGCTCCATATTCATCCACCCGGTTCCTACGATCACAGAACAGTCATCTCCTCCACCTTCCATGAACTAAATCAAGGACCATGGGAGATTGGGCATTCTGTGTGACTGCCCCCCACCTCTGGAACTCCCTCGCTGACTATCTGAGAGCGCCGCAATCATTGGATGACTTTAAAAAAGGCTTAAAGACGTTTCTTTTTAAGCAAGCCTATTCTGCCTCCACATGATTTTATCACTGATTTTAGTTGCACTTTGTAGCACTTTGAGATTTTTGTTAATGAAAAGTGCGTTATAAATTAAATTCATTATCATTATTATTATTAGATGTTAAACACGAAGATTTTGTTCACGAGACAAGGTGGATAATCAAATTCAAGTGTATGCTTTTCATTTTAACTTCCATTTTTATGCCTGTATAAGTTGATGAGCTCACAGTTCAACCTCTGGCTGATAAAAGCTAAAAACACGATCTGTAGCAGCTTGACTAAAAGTCTTCTTGTTCTTGTCTAGAAGTTCTTTTTGACCCATTCTTTCTGCAAACTTTTGTGAGTCAAACTGTTTTGAAAACATTCTTCTTTTTTTTTGGTTTACGTACAGCTACTGTTCGAGTCAGTGGGAAGCCTTTAGTTTCAGCCTTTTTTGATAAACTGTTTAGAAATTTAAGTTTTTTTTTTTTTTTTTTATCATTAGCCTCCTGTTTCCAGCCCTATGAAAAGCAGTGTAGTGTTTATTAAAGGAATCCACTGATATTTAAATTGTTTTATTTTTCTGTGGAATAATTCTTGTACAGCTGACTGCTGCACAATCTGAAGCATGTCCTTGCCTTTTACAGGTTAAGAATGTATTTTTTTAATTCAGCATTTTTTTTTTCTCTAATCATACATTGTTTTTCTTGCTGCTAGTTGTGGTTTTAATTAGACTTTCTGGAGGATTAAGACCCTCTGAGCTTTCTTAATTCCTCAAGACCTCAGTTTGACCTCCATCATAGCATAATGGAGCCACTTGTTTTTCTTTAATGTTCTTTTTTGTAGGATTCAGATATTTTAGTGATTGTGGTGTTGAGCATCTGCTTACATGAGTCAAAGACGTGTTGTTAGCAAAATATTTCATGAACCACTGGGCAGATTTTAATAAAACTCAGTCAGCAATCACCAGATTTAGATCTACAGCTGATTAGCTTGTTGGTGAATGTCATAACAAATATCAGTCAATACAATAAATGGCTCTGTCTCAATAAATATGACATTTTGAGCTAAATATGATGTGGTAGTAACTGGGAGTAATCCACAACACATATTCTGAAGACTAACAGATCTTGCAAAGTCTTGTAATTTGGCATTTGACTGCGTGCAACATCATTTACAAGGTTTGACCCAAACAACTCTAACTCCGTCCCGTCTCATCGTAAGATGATCCTAGACTAAAACTCTGTCATGAAAGATGGCAGGTTGTATGAATTTATTTATGAAATGCAAGACTTCTATTACCTATTAGGTTTTTAAATATTAATAACCTGATTGCTTTGCAGACGAGCTGGGAATTAACTCAAGAAGTCTTTATTTATTTTTGTACTTTTGCATTGTTTAATAATATAATCAAAAAATTGCAGTTTTATTGTTTAAACACATAAGAACTTACAAATTGTTGTAGTTTCTTGGCCTAGTTTTTTTTTTTTTTTCTGTGACGGGGCCATTAGATAAGATTCATTAACATGTTTCTCAGCCACAGCCTGCTCATGGTTAATAATAATAATAACAATAATAAACTTTATTTCTGTAGCACCTTCCAACAATGCCTTGCAAGGTGCAAGGCACCAAGGTGCTTTACAAGATAGAACAAAATAAAAACAGGACACAATAAATCAGTGCAAATTAAAAACACAGCCAAAATAAAAGAAGGTAAAAAAGATAAAAATAAAAAAAGATCAAATAAATAAATAAATAAAATACTACATACTATTTATAAGTACGGTTGCTAGTAACTAATCACTACTGAGGTGCTGGACTTCATTATGACCATTTTAAAGCAGGTTTGCTAAAGGAAACTGTGGTTTAGGAATGCCGTATTTGTCGAACTATAAGGTGCACTTAAAAGCTTTTAATCTTCTCAAAAAATCGACAGTGAGCCTTATAATCTGGTGCACCTTATGTATTAATTCTGGTTGTGCTTAATGACCTTGAACTGATTTTATGTGGAACAACTGAACAATGTTGAGAATTATTGTGAATGAGTTGAATAAAGTTTGACTTATC